CCAAACCTCATTCTCCCCTTGATCTAGGGAGCTCCTACTTATCTTTCAGGTGCCCATGGAATTCTTCCCTGAGGCCCTCCCGTTGATGCTTATAATTCCTGTTGACATCTCTTAGCTTTGTTTCCTTTTCCTCTTCCTCCCACAGAGTGGAAGCTGTGTCTGTCTCGTTTTAGCCCAGTGCCTGGCACACATTAAGCTGGCAGCCCAAGCTTATTGGATCATTGAAAGAAGCTGTTACATGGAGGAGGCACTGGTTAACTTTATCAGGCATGAATCAGGGAGGGCTTTCTGGAGGAGGTGATGACTAAAGGAAGAACAGAAGTTTGCTGGGTGTTCTAGGCAGTGGGAACAGAAAGTGCAAAGGCCCAGAGTGGTGGCATCACACGGAAGGGTGGTGCTGTCGGGATGCAGACAAAAGAGCAGCAGGGGCAGGATGTACCCTTGGAAGGCCCAGCAGGTGTGTTCAGAAGCTGGGGGTGGGAACCAGAAGGGGCACAATGCCATTGCTCAGGAGGCAGTGCTAAGTGGATTGAGGGCCACCAGGCTGGAGCAGTGAGGCCAGTTAGGAGACTACTGTGATGCATCAGGAAAGAAACATGAGTCCTGAACCCAGGCAGCAGCTGTGAGGATGGGGAGGAGGTATGGATCTGTGGTTTCAGGCTGGAGCCCTGGGGTTTGAGAATTCAATGTGGCAGAAGGAGCAGTGGAGAGTGGAAGGTGATGCCACCAACTTGAACCTTAGACCCAAGAAGAACGACTGTGAGGAAGTTGGGGTGAGAAGGTCTAGATCAGTTCTGTTTTAGACACAATGAGTTTGAGGATCCTTGTATAGCAAATGGTTTTTATATTTGAGTCCAGGGCTCAAGGGAGGGCTCAAAGCAGGAGGTTAGATTCTGACTCCTGGATATATATGTTTATATATGGATATTTAAACAGCAGGGATGAATGAGATTGCTGGGGAGAGGCTGTGGAATAGGACCAGAAGTCTGGGCATAAAACCCTCAGGGAAGTAAAAACCCAAGATACCTTCAGAGGAAGAGGATCCAGGAGAGGACATTAAGAAAGGTCTGTCCCTCTATCCTCCTTGACATAAGTATGTGGGCCCTGCCGTTCTGAAGAGTGGATCTAGAGAGTGGAAGCCAGTGGTGGTAACCCTAATTCCCCTTGTCAGTGATTGGTTTAGGAATGGACATGTGACCCATCCTGACCAATGACACATGAGAGGAAGAGTTCTAAAGGGTTTCTGGGAAAGGTTTCCTATTCTAAAGACAGAGGCAAGGATGAGATTCTGTTTGACCTCTGGATTTTGTCCAGTCTGTATGGGATACCAGGAACAATTTGCAACTATCTTGTGATCTTAAGGAAACCCAGCCCGAGGAGCAAGTCCACATGCCAAAGCTGGTGGAGAGGAGAAAAGGAAAGAACTGGAATCTTTGGTGACGCTGGTGATCTACTCTCACAGAAATCTCTGGAATCCACTCTTCCACCGAGCCTTTTCCTATGTGATGTAATGAACTGTATTTGTTTTAGGCAGCTTGGATTAGGTTATCTATTAGAGTAACAAAGGGAGGAAAATATTTCAGCAGTCATACTCCTCAGAAATTTGTTATGGAAAAAAAAAAAAAAGAATACAGTCTATTGGCTTTGACAGTCTGGTGGTCACAGGGCAAATTCAGTAGACAGATTGGCAGGGCAGAGGCTGACCAGAGAGTAAAAGGGAAGTGGCAGGTGTGAAAGTAAAGACTGTTAGTGTGGACAACCCCTTTCAGAAGCTTGGTTGAGAAAGGATGGTGGATAAACACCCTGTCAGAAGACCTGGATTTTGAGTAAGTCAGGGACAGGCTATGCTGCGATCACAAGCAAATATCAAGCCTCAGTGGCTCAACACACATAAGTTCCGTATTTTGTTTTAGTTCTTTCACTTGCTGTGTGAAGTGCTCTGTGGATCAGCCTGCTCTCCAGCAGTGCCCCGGGGGTCTGTGTTGTTTCAACATTATGGCTATGCTGTCTTGGCATGAGAACTCTGTGGGGACCGTGGCAGGGGAAGGGAGGGCTGAGGGGATGTTCGGCAGCACTTTCTCTGCTTTATCCTGCTAGTGACACTTGTCACTTCTGTTCTCAGTCCACTGGACAGAAGTGGTCACATGGCCGGTCTAGCTACAGGGGAGTTGGGAAATTGGGGGATATACATGGATATGTGGTGAGCATCAACTATATGTGTTGGATCTCAACTTTCTGAGCTTTACTTTTTCTTCGGTAGATAAATGATCACCCAACTCACAAAGGATTGTGAAAACCAAACAAGATATGGAGGAACTCTTTTTTTCCTGTTGTCCTCCACAATTCTCTTTTGTCCTGGTTTTTCCATGCCTGTCTGAGCTGGGTGTTAAAAATAATCCCACCTACTGAACACCTACTACAGATACTACTATGGATACTATAGATGCCTACTTTGGATAATAGTAATAGCTAGAATTTATTTATTTTTAAATTCATTGTTGTTGGAGTATAGTTGCTTTACAATATTGTGTTAGTTTCTGCTGTACGGCAAAATGAATCAGCTATAGATGCACACGTATCCCCTCTTGTTTTGGATTTCCTTCCCATGTAGGTCACCACAGAGCATCCTGGAGTTTACTGAGTGCTTACCATGAATTCCAGGCACTGTCCATACATTAGCATAATACTAAACACACCATTCCCTCCATTTTGCAGGGACTTCAGGCCTATCACGGTGCCTGGCACACAGAAGACATTCAGTACATGTTTGGATCAATGAAGCAACTTGTTCAATCACAGCTCTAGCAAGGGGCAGGGTGACACTCCAGGCCAGGGCTGTCAGCCCCGTGCTGCTTCCTCTATGTCACCATCTCCATCTTCGGTCACTCAAGTAAGGCTGATTCTCCAAGGTGGCTGCAGTGGGGGTGGGAGGAGGGTGTGGATTTAGGGATGGGGAAGATTTAGATCTTCCTGCACTCAGAGTTCTTGCATTGCCAGGTGTGTTCAAATAAATAATGCCCACCCCTCTCCAATATATGTAGGTCTTCATCCTCACAACTTGTGAATGTCACCTTCCTTATATTCACCTTGTGAATGTTACTTCCCAGGTGGCACCAGTGGTAAAGAATCCACCTGCCAACGCAGGAGATGCAGGTTCCATCCCTGGGTTGGGAAGATCCTCTGGAGAAGGAAATGGCAACCCACTCCAGTATTCTTGCTGGGAAAATCCCATGGGCAGAGGAGCCTGGCGGACTACAGTCCATGGGGTCGCAAAGAGTCGGACACGACTGAACACACACAGACACACACTGTCATAATCCAGATGCGATTAAGTTAAATTTAGCCCAGATGTGGTGAAGGATCTCAAGACAGGAAGGTTATCTTGGATTATCCAGGTGGGCTCCAAACACAATCACATGTACCCTTTGAAGAGGGAGGCAGAGGGAGATTTGACACACAGAGGAGGCGATGTGACAGTGGAGGTGAGAGATTGGACTGCCGCAGCCACAAGCCTGTGATTGCCACTGGAAGCTGGAAGAGGCAAGGAACGGATTCTTTCCTTCCTTAGAGTCCCTGGGGGAAAGCCACTCTCCCCATTCCTTGATTTCAAGTCCCTGGGGGAAAGCCACTCTCCCCATTCCTTGATTTCGAGTCCCTGGGGGAAAGCCACTCTCCCCATTCCTTGATTTCGAGTCCCTGGAGGGAAAGCCACTCTCCCCATTCCTTGATTTCGAGTCCCTGGAGGGAAAGCCACTCTCCCCATTCCTTGATTTCGAGTCCCTGGAGGGAAAGCCACTCTCCCCATTCCTTGATTTCGAGTCCCTGGAGGGAAAGCCACTCTCCCCATTCCTTGATTTCGAGTCCCTGGAGGGAAAGCCACTCTCCCCATTCCTTGATTTCAGCCCAGGGATACTGAGATCAGAATTCTGGTTTCCAGAACCATGAGGGAATAAACCTCTATTGTTTGAAGAGACCCAGTTTACGGTGACGTAATACGGCAGCCGCAGGAAACTGATACACCTGCTTTGGGGGATGGCTCAGAAACACCTCGGGGTCTGCAGTCCTCTGACCTCTGCCAGCTGGGGGACCAAAAAGGGGTTCCCGTGGCCCCTGTGCCTGCAGCGGAAACAGGGGAGGAGGCCGAGCTGCACCAGCGTCAGTCTGAAAGGTTTTTTGACGTGGACCGTTTTTAACGTATTTATTAAATTTGTTACCATATGGCTTCTGTATTATATTTTGGTGTTTTGGCTGTGAGGCATGTGGGATCTTCGTTCCCCGACCAAGGATTGAACCCGTACCCCCTACACTGGAAGGCAAAGGCTTAACCGCTGGACTGCCAGGGTAGTCCCTGAAAGAGGTTCCAGTAAACAGAAATCGAAAGCCATCCATCTAGGAATCCTCATTAGGAACCTGCTTTGTGGCAGACCGGCTGGGACCACAGATCTAACACGACTTGGTGTGGATGGCCCTGAGACCAGGTTTCAGGCTGAGCTGCTGGGGTGCAGGGAACCCCAGGCCCGTCCTACTGACCCTGCTCTGGGGTCAGGTTCAGGGGCAGGAAGGGCCTGGAACCTGAAATCTGCATCTGAAAGCAGATGTCAGGAGTTTGCTTCCCAAGGAGGGTGTTTGGCTCAGATTTCTCCGGAAGTGGAGACAAGGGCGGGGGAGGAACGTGGCCTGGAGTCTTGGCTGACCTGGAAGGAAGTGCACGGGGTCGAGAGTGGAGGTGCCAAGCCCCAGGAGGCCTGGGGGGCTGGCAGCCGAGGTGTGGGGTGGGGTGTGGGCGCTGGACAACCACAGGCGGGGGCTGCCAGCGTGGAGCGCACCCGCCGCCTCTCCAGGGACAGACAGGGCTCTCCAGAGCTGTGGTCTGTGGTCACGTTTGTGCCTGCTCCGTCCAAGGGATGGGAGGGCTGTCCCTGGAGACGGAGGGGGCTGCTGGGCCTCTCCACCACTGCTGGGCCTTGACCCTGGGCCTGCGGCTTTCTGGACCTTGGTGGTCACACGACGACACTCCAAACTGGGGCGGGGAACGCGCGTGACCTCTTCTTGGAGGCCGTCAGGGCCACGCCGGACCACCGGGCTCCCCCTGCCCCGCGCACGGAGTCGGATGAGAGGGGGGCCGTGATGAGGTCTTCGGCTTTCCGGGGAGAAACAGACCTCAGGGAAGAGGGGGGCGGCTCTTAGCAAATCAGGAAGAGACAACGGGGAGGAGGTTAGCCAGGAAGCGGGGCTGGCATACTGGCCAACGTTCCAGCACGGTCCTGAAAGAGAGCGCCCTCTCAGGGAGGAGTCTTGTCCTGTTCAGATGCTGAGGGAAGCACTCCCAGAATGAGCCATGGCGTGGCTCTAGGCCCTCTCTTCTCCTGTCTCAGCCTCTCTTTGTGATGCCCGTCTCCTCTCCCCTCTCCTCCCATCCCTTCTTGTCTCCGGGCGCCACTCCTTGACCCTTCCCGTCTCTCTCTGTCGCCTGCTGTGTCTGCATCGATGCCACCTGTCCGCTCCCCGCCCCACACACTCAGAGTCCGGCTTTATTTGGGTCACCTCGGCTTAGAGGCTCAGCCAGGACTTCACAGGAAGCACCTGTGCTCCTACACAGCCCGAGCACTTTTTTTTTTTCTGTTTTCTCATTTTGTACTTCCTCATTCACCCTTTCCTTTCTATAGATTCGCTCACAGTGTCATCTGAGACTTTCTGGTCCCCTCACAGATCTCCATCTATTTTTATCAGCAAACACCCAAACTTCTTCCTGGGGCCTCCCCACCCCCAGGCAGCCTGCAGAGAAGGCTCGGCTCTCCGCGGCCCCTGGGTGGGTCAGGAGGCTGCTGGGGGGTGGGCTGCAAGCAGAGAGGTCCAGCTCCTCACCCGGACTCCCGAGAGGCCCCTCAAAAAGGAGGGAGCGACCGTCTCCCGTCAGCTCATAGCTCCCGAGGCTGCTCCCTCCTGAGGCCCAGGAACCCTTCTGGAAGCAGCAGAAGTCCCCACCTGGAGGCTGCAGAGTTCCCCGTTAGCACATGATTTAGAGTTGGGCGACCAGAAGGGCAGTCGGGGTCCTGCTTCTATTCCTAGTGACCTCTGCCAAGTTACATCATCCCCTTGAGCCTCAGTGCATTTAGTCCAGAAATCAGGCCTTCTGTGCTGCTTTACCTGTGGCACAAAGGGTCCTGTGCTGTAAGCTCCCTCTGAGGGTGACGACCAAAGACAAGGACGATGCTGATGACAGCATCTGCCACGGCTCGTGTGGCAGGCCCTGTCCTGGGTGCCTTCGTGTGTGAGCTCACTCAATCCTATAGCAACCTGGGAAGGAGGTACTGTTAGCGTCTCTGTTTCACAGGTGAGGAAGGATGGAGGTGCAGAGAGATTAGGCTCCCTGTGCAAGGCTGCACAGGGTAAGTGGCTGATGTGGGATTCACAGTCAGCAGTCTGGCCCCCCAGACCTCATACCCTCACGACTGTTTTCCTGATGGCCTGGAAACCCTCTCCCCTTCCTACACTGCCATGTCCCGGATGACAGTGTTGGCGCCTCTCTCACTGGGTACCACATCAAGTGCCCAGCGGGAGGGGCCTGGTTTGCAGAAGTGGTTGCCCAGGTCTGGAGCGCACAGGGCCAGGCCCACCTCAGTCTCCCGAGGGCGGTGCGGTCACGGGGCGGAAGGGAGGGCCTGCTCCAGGGCTGCTGTGACCATCTGTGTTTGTGCAGTGCGGTCTCTTCGGGCTTTGTGACCACAACACGTTTATTTTTGGAGAATTACTATTCCTAGCTTGGCACCGCAGGCCTCTTATTTGCCAGCCGCGTTCTTTCTGGTTTCTCTGGAAGCGTGTTGTGTGCCAACTCTGCCGCTGCTATCTTTGTTTCTTTTCTAAAATCAGCATCTGAGTGGGCAGCCCTGTGTATTCACTTGCTTCTTCAACAAACACAGCTTCCGTGTAAGGACACTGTGCTGACTGCTCTGGGGACATCAAAGATGAAGTCGGTGTAGCCTTTGCCCTCCAGAATCTTCCAGTCCAAGAGTGACACGTAACATGCATGGAGGTGGCTGTAATGGCACTTGGATGATGCTGTATGGGTGTTCCCACCAAAGTCATGGCAGGACTTCAGAGAGCTCTCAGGGAGGCCTTTCTAGAGGAGATGGTGGCTAAATCAGCTATAGCGCAGAGATCCCAAAACAGTGGTCTGTCTAAGGTCCATCTTCAGATAGTTTTACTTCCTGTCTCACAGCAATGCAGATGCAGGCGGTGCTGGGCGGGTGGGATGGCTCGTTGCAGGGTCATGCAGGGACCGGCTGTGCTCTCTCCCGTTGCATTTCTTTGCTGCTCTGTCATGTCCTGTCTTTAGCTATAGGGTTGACGCTTGGTCATGGCCTCATCGATTTCCCTCCTCGTGGCAAGGGCAGAGAGACGGTGGAGGAACGCAGAGATGCTTTAAGACACAGACCCAGAGTGACTCACCTATCCTGGTGGCCAGAACTTGGCCATTGGCCACATCTACTTACAAAGGAGGCTGGGAAATGTAGTCTATAGCCAAGTGGCCAAGTGTCCAGCCTAAAGTTCAATGTGGAAGAAAGGAATAACGGGGATTGTTATCTCTATCTCAATGACTTGGGCCTGGGCATACGGACAGGGTATTATTGGGTAGGAATAGAGGTGGAGGGCCTGCCAGATGGAGAAAATGGCAGAGGTATGGGAAGGTGCCTGGTGGATCTGGAGAAAGGGAAGATGTGGCCTCCCTGGGGTGTAGGATTTATTTAGAGGAGGCTGTGACCCACATTTGCATAGAGATGGAGCAGGCTTCATCTCTTTAATAGACTGCTCAGCCTTCACATAGACTGTGATCCTTGTCACCTGCTATCCAAAAACAAATCTTCTTTAATCAACCACACAGGATGTGCACATCATCAGCCTTACTCAGGAAATTTAATCTTGAACTGATAGTGATCTAGATTCTATCACAGGCTTGGCTCCCCTGGGGTATGCTGCTTTCAACAGGGCTTCTTATGTCAAATGCTGGCCACCATTTAATACAAGTTCTATAGCGGACTGTTAGCCCAGTCACCTAGCAAAAGACCTTCACTGTGTTGGAACTTGTGTTAAGCCCTTGGAAGAAATGGCCACATGAACACCTTGGTATGTTTCAATAAAACATTAAGACTGTTGCTTATTATTTTGTTCATTGGATAATATGGTATTTTACTTTATATAAGAATCAAGCGATTACATGTCAATTATATATCAGTAAAGCTGGGGAAAAGCTTTAAAATTTTGGATGCATTTGTACAGATGCTATGTGTATATCACAGACCTTATTTAGGATTTATCATTAAGCCCTCACATTGGTTTTTGGATTCAGAATACACATATTGTAATAATAATGTTACTGCTTTAGCTCATACCTTGTTTGTCTTTTTGTTTTGCTTTTCTAAAACGACCATGTCGTCTTTCAGAATTTTCACAATTTCCATTGGATTTTTGTGTGATTTACTAAACAAAGGAATTTTCTCATGCACAGAAATCTCCTCCAATATGGGGTGCTACAAACAAACAAAAAACATGAAGAAAAAAAGAGTCAACCAGATACATCTCTTATTATCAAGCTGCTCTGTCTTTGCCATTCAACACATGTTGATTAAGGCAGTATTGGCAGGCACTGTGGAAGGTGCTGGGAGTACGGAGAGAAGAGACACAGACCCAGACTTCAAGGAGCTCACAGTCTGGGGCAGGGCGTTGGGGGGGTGTGGGGTATGGGGTGGAGAGATAAGTAATAGGCATTTATGACGTAATGTGTAGCTGTTGTGAGAGACATAAGGCAAGATGCCATGGGGGCTGGAAGGGGGAAGGCTGAAGAAAGCTTTCTGAAGGACCTGAGTCTTGAAGGCTGAGGAAGGGTTAATAATGTGAGGAAGGGAAAAAAGAATGTTCCCAGGAAAGCGAGCAGGAACTGCAAAGGCACCGAGAAATGAGAGGGGCCGGGCCACGTGGTTGGGGAACTCCAGCAGCTGCACAGGCCTCTGGTTTAGGGGCCCGTGGGAGCGCGGCTGGAGGGTAGTTGGTCACCTGGTGGACCTCGCGGCCACCCTGGGGAGGGTGGTCTTTGGCCTAAAAGACCTGTGCAGTCCTGGCACGTGATTAGATATGCATTTAAAAAATGTCAGCCTTGGCATTTCCCTGGCAGTCCAGTGGTTCGGACTCTACTTCCACGGCAGGGGGCATGGCTTTCATTTGTGGTGGCGAGCTAAGATTCCACATGCTTTGCACCACAGCCAAAAGAAAATTAAAAAAAAAAATCAGCCTTGTCAACATACACTGTGCAGGGAAGGGACCAAAAAGGGAAGCAGTTTCATTGTTTCAGCTGAGAAATGCTGTGACTTTATGTGAGGACATGGTAGACACAGAGGTGGAGAGAGATTCGAGGCATGTGAAAGGGGAAGGACCCATGACACTTGCTGGCTGACATGGGGATAAAGCAGAGATGCCTGTCGGGTGTTGGGTTGGGTGGCTGCTCACGCAGTTGAAGACCCAGGACGAGGAGCAGGGGAGGTGTGGGGCAGGCAGTCTGACCATGGGAACACTGAGACGCGGCCAGTGGGTCAGATGTGTGGGAGGAGGAGAGATTTAGGCATTGCCAGCGTGCAGGTGCTGGTTAAGGACAGGGGTGTGTGTGCGACACTGCTGAGCCCGCAGTGACGCACCCGCTATGCTGTCAGATACTTTTCCTCAGTTTAAAAAAGTAAATTAAAAAGTTTATGGAAGCCCTCCTGTGGGCCTGGAACCTTCACACTTACTCATTCAGCCCATCTGGCCTGTGAGGGAGGAGGTGACACCTAGTCTGGCTGGAGAAAGGAGTTAAGTGGCTCAGCTGGTAAAGAATCCGCCTGCCATGTGGGAGACCTGGGTTTGATCCCTGGGTTGGGAAGATCCCCTGGAGAAGGGAACGGCTACCCACTCCAGTATTCTGGCCTGGAGAATTCCACGGACTGTATAGTCCACGGGGCCGCAAAGAGTCAGACATGACTGAGTGACTTTCTCTCACTCACTCAGGTATTGTTATCGACCTGGTTTTACAGTGAGGTTCAGGGGAGTGAAACGAGCAGCTCAAGGGCAGCCTGCACACAGGACGGTAGAGGGGAATTTGGAGCAGGTCTTCGGTGGCCTGATATTCACCGCAACTCCCTTTCAGGATGTGGG